TTCCCTCTCCTTTCTCCTCCCCTTCCCTTCCCTCTCATCTCATCCCAGGGTAGGAATGGGTCCATTTTATCCCTTCCAGACAACTGTCCCCCCCAACCTCTGCCCCTCTCCTTGTCCTCTGCAGCCCCTCCTTTGCAGTCTGTGTTACCAGAGGTTTTTTGGCTGCTCTTCCCCACTGTCACTTCACATTTATTACACATTTCATGATCACCATGAAATCGTTTTTTTGGCACCATTGTGACTTTTTTTTCCCCTCTGAGTATCCTTTTGGAGACACCATTTCCTGAGGTTCTGGACTGTAAACACACACACACACACACACAGAGTTTGTGAAAATTACCTGAAATGGGACCTTTTTATTGCAGTCCTTTGACATCTGTGGCCGTGTGGGAAGTGTCAGGAAGGCACTGAAGGTCCTTTGCACCCCCCAGGTAAGGAATGAGACATCAAAGAGCCATTTCAGAGGTGAAGCCTTGTTCCTGTGGGGTGATGGAGCTGAGGATTGCTCACAGAACACAACCACGTGCTCTGCCATGGCTGGACAAGCTGTTCCCTCCTGTCAGGGATGTTGGGAACCTTTCCTGACCCCTGCCCTGTCCCAGCTCTGGGAGAGGCTCTTCCTGCTTTGTCTGACTGGGAGCTCTGTGTAATATGGATTAATCCACTGAGGCCAAACCTGCAAGGACCTGACAAAACCTTGCAGTGCAGAGTGTGAGAAGGGCTTTAACAGGCTTTAACCCTGTCGTGCCTTTTGTGCAGTGACATTCCCAGAGATCAGGAATTATCCCAGGCACTGGTGTTTGGATCTGCTGCACTGACATGCTGGGACTTGTATTTTAAGAAGGGCCACACCACCACTGCAGTTTGTTAGAGCTCACCTGGCCTGTTCTGTGGGCTTGGGCTGCTCATTTTTTCCTCAGCATGTTTCTATTTCCCCCAATCCTGTCAAAATGTGGGAGAAACATTTACCCTCCATATTATCTAAAAAGAAAAGTGGGCAGCCCCTGGGTGCTGCTGCTGCTGCTTTGCTCTCTCCTGTGGTCTAACTTGCCAATAATAATCCCTCCCACTATCCAAACACCTCTGCAGGTGGTGCTGAGCTCATTAAGTGTCAGTATTGTTGCTGCACAAGTGGAGGCACCAAAGGGTGGGATCAGCTCGAGGGGCCAACCCAGCAGAGAGCACAGAGCTGCACGATCCACGTGCTGCTGCCCACACCTCCCTTCCCCACCAGGGACACAACCCCAGTGTCCTTCCCGGGCCCTGTGGGCTGGGAACAGCCGTGTTTTCACACTCCCTGAGCCTCCAAACCCTCGCTCATTGGGATTTCTCCCCCCTGTCCCCCACAGACCTACGGGGTCCGTGCCACCAGCCAGCAGTGCAGCGAGGCAGGAGACATCTGTGCCATCTGCCAGGCAGAGTTCAGGGAGCCCCTGATCCTCCTGTGCCAGGTAAGAGCCCAGGCTTTCCTGCTGGCATTCCTGTGGGTGTCCTGCAGCTGGGGAGAGAGGCACAGTCGCCCTGGGGGGCTCTGAAACCATTTGCTGGGTCTTGGGCTGGGTCCTGGTGGGTGTTTATTGCCCTGGCCTGGGTCACCGGTGGTTCTTGGCAGCTGAGCCACCCTTTGGGGGCTGACCAGCACTTTTTGGGGGGGAAATAGACTTGTAGGGCAGGAATGGCAGTTGAGGAATGCTGCAGTCCTGGCCTGGGCTGGGGGAAGCCCTTGGAACACACCACACTGCCTTGGGGGCTGTTAATGGACCAGAGGAGCCCATGGCAAGGCTGGAGGTGCTGCCCCAAGGTTTTCTCTTCAGGCTTTGCCTACTGGGGTTGGAATTGTGAGTCCTGGAGGGGCCCTGGCTGCTGTGGGGGTGTGAGCAGGAAAACCCCAGGCACAGGGAAGGGAGCTGGTGGGATATGAGCTCTCTTGTGGTATCAAAATAAAGCTCAGGAGCCTGTTTTTGGAGAGCTTCATGGAGAGCTTTTGGAGAGCTTTTATCCCATTAGACAACAGGGTTATCAAATTAAAGCAAGTGGGTCTCCTGTGCATCAAAGGTGCCTCTCAGCATTGCTGTGAACATCTGTGCAGATGTTCCTGAGCTGGGAGCCCCAGAGGAGCTGCCTTTGTGTCAGAGCTGAGGTTTGGGGAGTGACATTTCTGCTGACTCCACATGAGCTGAGCTCTCAGCTTCTCCTCATACTCCCTCCCTGCCCTATTCCTGCTCTTCCAGTGTGGGATTGGGTGCTGTGAGCTGGGGATCCACCCCTCCTGATCCTGGTGCCCAAGGCAGGATGGAGGGAGAACCCAGGGAGGGGCCAGTGCAGAAATGAGGGGAGAGATGGGGTGAAAACTGGCATTTATGGAAAGGGGACACTGGGCATTGGGAGCAGAATAAAGCAAATGCAAGGAGTGTGTGGGGTAAAAAGTGGGTAAAAGTGAAGACTTAAATAACTCAGGATGGAAACATGGCAGAGAAAACCTCTCCCTACTCGTTAGGCCTTTTTAACGTTTCTCTCTAGTGCCACATTAAGAACTAATAAATCCTTGGCTTTGGCAAACACACTGTTGTGCTGGTAACACTGGGATTTATTTTTCCATGTGAGCATTGCTGTTGTGGATCCCTCCCTGCTCCTAGGGAGGTCCCTGCTGCCTGGTGACACTGCCCCTTGTCCCCCCAGCACGTGTTCTGCGAGGAGTGCCTGTGCCTGTGGTTCGACAGGGAGAAGACGTGTCCCCTGTGCCGCTCGGTCACCGTGGAGACCCTGCGCTGCTGGAAGGATGGCACCACCTCTGCCCACTTCCAGGTCTACTGACACAGGGCCCCTCAGGCAGGGGAGAGGAAAAACCTGGAAAATCACCCCGTGCCCCCCCTGTTTAGCTGCCCTGTGTGTTTGTTGTCAGTCTTCCTCCCAGCTCGGTCCCTCCAGGAGCCAACGGAACAGTCGTCGCCGGCCGGGAACTCTGTCCTCAGAGGCAAGGAGATGTGGTTTGTGCCTTGGCTGAGCTACAGCCAGGGATTTTCCTGGAGCTGACGTGGTTATGAACTGCCTGGGATGTTTCCTGCTTCCCTGTCCTTTTAGTGTGGATAAATCCCACGTGGACAAGTGGATTTCATGGCTATGACCTGATGTGCTGCAGCAAAGCTGTGCCCGGCTCGGGCCTCTGCTGAGGTGTCTCACGTTATATGGCCCCAGATTCCCTGGATCCATAGCTTTGTAGGATGACACAGTGGCTGTTACAGAACCTCTGGGAACTCTTCCCAAGCAGGGCTTCAGAACTTCATGTCCAAAAGGTCACCTGGGGCTGGAGAGATGGCATTTCCCAGCAGCCACATGTGTGCAGTTGGTTCCACCAATGGCACAACTGTGGCTGCAAGTGTCATAAAATCATTAAAAAGTCAGGAAAGACCAGGCAAGTGAAGCTGGGAGTTACATTTATTTCTGTTGGGAATGTTTTCCCTTTTTAATTTTCGTGGTGAGGCTTTGTGATTTCCCAGTACATGAGGAGAACAGCGGGAGGCAGAGGGAGATTGAAGTGACAGAATAATGGGAGTCGAGCTGGTTTTGTCTGGGTGAAAAATCCAGCTCCAAACCAAGAGCATCCCACAGACTGAGGGGTCTCTGCACCTGCTCCTGGGTGCAGCCACTCCAGGCCAGCCCCACTCGCATCCAGGACCTGCCTGGGTCCCAAACCAGGAGAACTGGAGCTCCTGGAGGGATCCCTGCATTGGCAGGGAATGAAACCCTTCCTGTGGCTGAGGTGCTGCAGCAGCAGGGAGCTGCTGTTTGTTCTGGAGATTTCCCTGGCCCCAGGGCACCTCTGCTCCTGCTGCACAGCCAGGAAGTGCCTCCCTAAGAACTGTGGTGTTTTCCCAGCTCATTGCCATGGGAATGGCCCGAGGGGATGGTCCCAGCTGAGTGACAGTCCCACCTGAGTGACAGTCACCCCTGAGCCCATCCCCTGGGGGAGATGAGCTGGGTCTGCCCTCACTGGAATCCCCAGGGGGAGAATTCCAGCCACCAGGAGCTGGGGGCAACAGGATTAAACTCCACATTTCTTTGGGATGTGGCAGGAGGAGGGATGGGGGTGGGAGGCAGAGCCTGAGCAGGGAAGAGTCCAAATCTGGCTTGAGAGCTGTAGGGAAGCAGAGGAGGGAAAGCTTTGCTTTCCAAGACAAAGTGATTTGATTCCCATTACAAGGATCCTGTGAAAGCAGGGAATTAGCCCAAGGAATCTGGTTGCTCTCTGCAATGGGAATGGCCCCTCTGGGGTGGGGGAAGGCAGGAAGCAAGGCTGGCAGTGGGCACAGGAATGGGTGATAGCCTGGTGTATCCACTGGGAAGAGGGCAAAGGAGGGGATTCCATGGGCAGGCAGCTCCTGAAAGGAGTGCCAGTTTTCAGGGAACCAAAGGGTTGGTGCTTCTGCTTTCCAAGTGTTTGAAAAGCCACTTCTGTTTCTTTTTTTATCCTAAATGCTCCTGGAAAATGCGTTTGGGCAAGTGTAGGAGAAGGTCAGTGGGAGCCCAGCACTGCAGAAAGGGTGGGATAAACTGCTCCAGAATTAGTCAGTGATTAGGCAGGAAATCAAAGGGAAAGTCTGGGAATATTGTTTGAATTCTTAAAGTCTTTCTGAGAGGGGAAGACAATTCTACCCTCTCCTAGAACACGACACCAGAAAACATCCAGGAGGAAACTTCAGCTCCAGTGATGGGAATCCTGATTTCCCCAGGAAAACGGGGAGAGCTGTGGGAGGAAATCACTCAGAGAGAGGAAATAAAAACCCAGAGCCTTTTTTTTTTTTTTGCCATTGAACAGTTATTTTTCTCTCTTTTTTTTTTTTTAATAAAGTCCTTATAAATATGTACAAAGAGTCTCAGCATACGAAATTCCTTTTACAAAAGAGAGAAGAAGCCCCTTCCAAGCAGGACCAGGAGCCTCCAGGGGCTCTGCTCCTGCCTTGGGGAGGTGGAAACCTGCACAGTGACTCTGCTGGAGTTACACCCCCCTGCCTGTCATCCCTGTCATTCCCTTAGCAATGGACCTGGGAGAGAGACTGGGAAGTTCTGCAGTGTCCTAAGGATCGATGATGGGAAGGGTTTTGTGGTGAGCTGGTGTTTGAATTGACTGGAAAGGTGATGCTGGAAATACCCATGGAATTAAACCCCCCTGAGCTGGGTTTGCTCTGCTGAGGAGCCACTTGGAAGTGATGGTGTAACTAATCCAGGGTGTAACTAATCCAGGGTGTAACTAATCAAGGGTGTAACCAATAATGGGTGTCATTAATAAAGGCCATTTAACACCCAGAAGCTTTCAGTGAATATTTATCAAGCTGCAAAGTCACTTTGTGTAAATATTAAACCCCTCAGGGAACTCGAGCCCTCGGGTTTTCCTGCCCAGTGAGGTTGGATCAGTCACATCAGAATTCCCTCCCGTGTTCAAATAAATATTGTCAGGAAAAAAAAAGATCCACTTGTTTTGTGGTTTGTAGTTTAATTTTTTTTTCCTGGAGGTGGGGACTGGCCATCCTGGAACAGCAGCTTTTCCCACTCCTGGGGAGGGCAGAGCTGTGCTTGGAAGTGCTGGGATGTGAGATCCTTGTGCTGCAGGTGGAGTGTGATCCAAGGCACTGGGATTGTCCTGTGCTGGGAACAGGGCTCTGTCTGGGAACAAAGGTGGCCTTTGGAATGTGAGGGGCAGCACATGAGGATCCCTCCCCTCCACTTCCTCAGGAAGCCCAATTCCCATGGCATTCACACTGCCCCACCTCCTGGATTTTGAGCTGGCATGGCCAGTGTCCCCTCCTGGGGTGGGATGGGCAAGTCCAGCTCACCCCCAGCCCAAGGGGACATGGAAATGGGGCTGAGTCCGAGGCCTGGACTGCAAATCCCATTTGCTGGGAGAGAAGTGGCTCTGAGGAATGTTGTGCAGATGCTGTTCACCTGCTGGGGGGTGGGAAACAGCCAAAAGTTTGGACCTGGGCAGAAAATGTGTGTCCAGGATTTAATGTGGAGCCACAGGTAGTTTGTTATTCACATGTTGGGCTCCTGTCAACATCCTGGACAGATGTTTTAAAACCATTTCTAGGAAAATTCAATATTAAGGTGGATGTAACCTTTGTGTCCTCACTGTGGGCCATTTTGCACGTGGCAGTGCAGTTTTCCAGCAGGGAATTGCCTCATTCCAGGCTCTGTGGACACAGAGACTGCAGCAGTTGAACCAGTTCTGTCTGCACTGGGGTTGATCAGCAGGAACAGTCTCTGCCTCTGCCGGGGGTTTAAGACCCCTGTAATTTTTACTGTGATACAGAAACGTGATTTTAGTGTGACACAGAGACAGAACAAACTCACAACCCGGATGGAATCGATTCAAGAAGTGTTGGTGACTGCAGGGAATCCTTCAGTGTCGGGCTGGGCTGGATGAGGGCGATCCCTGCCCGGTGCTCTGCAGCAGCAGTGGGATGGGTTTGTCCTCCCCCATCACTCACAGCTCCCCGATTTGGGTGATTTGCTGCGTGTTTGTGTTGGTGACGCCTCTCCTGGGCACATAGAGATGTCTGACAGGAGGCCCGGTCCCATTCCTGATGGTTTTACCACTAAAAATAATTCTGGGAGCAGAGGGCGGGCTGTGGGATGGATGTGCCAAACCCCGGGCTGGGTGTCAGCGGGGCAGCCCGGCACTGACCCGGCCAAATCTCAGCAGCACGACAGGAGGTGACCAGCAGCCCACGCTGGGCTGCTTTCCCCCCTTGGAATACAGAATTCCAGCCTGTGCTGGGAGCTGCCTTGGCCGAGAGCTGCTTTAAAAATTCATCCAGGCTTTCCCCGCAGCCGCGGGAGCGCAGACAGTGATCTCAGCCCGCCCCGCTCCCGCTGAAATCCGAGCCGCAGCCTTTTGTTTTCCCTTTGGAAAGCGCTCCCTGGTCTTCCCAGCTGATCGAAACCCGGGGCTGTGAGAAAACAAACGGGGGGGAGAGAGGAACTGTGCTGGTTTCCTGGCCACGAGGAGGGTAGAGACGCTGCCCGGCTGCGGCAGGGCAGGGAATTCACGGGGAATTCACAGGGAATTCGCAGGGAGTTCACAGCATGCTTCCCTTGCCAGTACAAACATCACCCAGGGGGAGAGCAGATCTTCTAAAAACGATAAAAACACCCCCTCGTCAAAAAACGGCGGCAATTCAACAATAGCAATTACACCAGAAAATGTAAGGCTTCCACAAATCCGTGCCCTCTAGTAAGGAATTCCAGTTCTGTACAGGGAATTCTGGCTATAAAACTCCAAAATTAACCCTCAGTTCATGCTAAACATCCAGTTTGGAACTACAGAAGTGAAGCAAATCAGGATTTGGGGCACTGGAGCTGCTCTGGATTCCAGCTGGGAAGCACCCCAGGTTTGGCTGTTCCACGGCAGCACCACGTGGCTTTAACTTTTTTGCTGAGTGTTTGGAAGCAGCCAGGAGACCAATCCCCTGGGAGTTCTGAGGTCTGGGAATCTGACAGAGGGTTGGGACAGAGGGAGAACAGCCAAGCTCTGCCCTGAGGCTCATCCCTGACTTAGGGGCTCTCCCGAGGTGGGGCCTCGAGTGCAAGGACAGAACTTCCTCCCCTTTTCCATGGCTGAGCTGTTCCAGGGGAATTGCCTCTGTGGGAAGGACACCAGGAGCAGCCTGGAGGCTGCAGGGGCAGGAGAACCAGGGGCACTGCACAGGGAAAATGGGATAATGCATATTCCAGGGAGGAGTTAGTTACATTCAGAGCTGATAGAGGTGAGGAACCTGTGCCCTCGGAGGGAGCTGTCCCAGGATTGCCTGGGGACACCCCACGGGCTGGGGAAGGAGGACAGACCTGCAGGTGCCACATCCAGCCTTCCCCCAGCAGTGATTCCTGCTCTGATGGCACTGTGTGATTCCACACACACACACAGTTCCACCTCTGAGTGACTTGCAGAAACTCCTGGTTTTAAGACACTGCCCAGTCCAGCACTGGCAGCACTGCTGGAATCACTGCTGGAATCACTGCTGGAATCACCTGAGGCTCCTCCTCTTGCCAGAAGAATTTGTACTTATTTCAGTAGGAGACTGAGCTGGGAGGGGGTTCAGGATGCTGAGGATTACTGAGCATCAGGCCAAAAACAGCAGGAAAAGGTTTCCCGGGGTCCTGAGACCACCCAAAGGCTACAGACAGACAACCACGGAGCTCCAGATCCCTCCCAGCACCCAGAGCTCCTCACTGGGAACCACCTGCCCTGCCAGCACAGCCCTGGGGCTGTCTGGGGATCAGTAACACCCAGGAACTGACTGATCAATGTATGGATTGATCAGTATTGGGCTCAAACTCGGCAGGGAATCTTTGATAAGGGGAGAATTCGGCTTTCAGGTTCCTTGGAAACCTTTCTCCTGCAGCAGTGAAAATGCTGGATGA